TCGAAACTACTTATTGAGTTACATATTTATTTATCGACGGTCGGTAATTACCAGCGGTCGGTAAAACAGAACACCGTCACTACCACTGCTTATAGAGTCTTTAATTCAAGACGATCGGTACCAGTGTCTTGGCCGGACCAAAACAAAACAGTTTTCATCTTCTTTCTCTTGAATATTCGGGATTCACATCCAAATATATTTCATTATTACTTAAAATTCAAAATTTCATTTTAATTTCAGGAATCAAGAAATGATTCAAACTGGACATGATATAAATTTCTCATTATGATGTGAAAAAGTTTGTTAAATAGCCAATGTGGGATATTTTTTAGCTTCTTTCCAACTAAAGTTAGCAGTGCGTAAAATTTCGATATGCCAGGCCGATTTCTACATTACCGATTTTCCCAACGTGTAATCTCCTACCGTGTCGAGTAACTTTCTCGACCTCTGCCACCTCATCCCCTCAAACTCTTCTCCTCTTTTCACTCAACCAACACCAACAAGTAAAATTTCAAATCCCCGGAAAATGCTCTTCCCTCGCACATCCTATTAAATTTTTTTACACTCGGGCCACAGTGCCGTACAAAAGCTGCTCAGATTTAAAAGTTTTCTTTACCGAAAGTGTGTACATGAACTCATTATACATATATATCTACTTATGTTCTCTAAAAGCTATTTTTTAAAACAGATTTTGAATGAAATAATTAATACTTTACCAGGAAAAAAAACGTAAATATGGTGAACTTACTTTTTTTATTAGATGTGAGATGTTTTTCGATAAAGTTTAACTGACAAGGAATATCCTTAAACAAAAATGGATGGCTTTTAATTTTTAACAAAAATTAATTATTCAAAAAAAATGTGTAGGCAAAATGGAACATTAGAGGATAATTTCTTGAAACTATGAAAGAAAAAGTTGTTGTTTCTCCCAGTGGAGTAATCGACTTTTGTAATTTAATCAAAATCAAAAACGTATATTCCGTAAAGCTGCACTTTACCATGTAGCAAACTAATTTGTCGTTAAATATTAAAAATCTTGTCATTATATAATAAAAAATTTTCTAAATTATTTGTTTTAATGTCGCAGTTGTGTTGAAAATTTCGTGTAAAGAGTCTATTGTATCCGGTAATTTTGAAAACGCTTTCCTTCGCGCATAATTCATGTTATTTCTTATTTTACGAACATCGTCAATCGTTAAAGTATTTATGTCTCCTTTTTTCAATTCTTTGTGTAACATTTTTGATAGACACTGGGACGCAATTAGCTGCGATAATCTTCTATTTTGAGAGGGTTAACTCTGAGAAGAGATACCAGGATGCGTTCCCCTTGCGGAAACTTTCTGCTATCTTGGAGAGATACATCGACCTCCACGTTCAAACTAACAATGTTCAGGTGCCCTTGGATATCATAAACGTCGCATCAATGCTTCGGCAATTGTAACTATGTAACTAACGGAGGTGGTTCAGGGTCCATCTTGGCCTTGTTGTCCTGTTCTAATTCAGAAATTACAAGCGAGGTTCCAAAATCTGCTGAATCTTCAAAAACCTAGGTCACCAAAAGACTTTAGTGGTTTATTAGAAAAAACTTCTTAAAATGATCTTTTTTTCATTACAATCGGTACGATTGTAGAAAAAGATTAGTGGTACCCTAATGTGAAAAGAGGATTTTCGTTAAATTTAATTACGAACTAAAATCTTCTGTTACATCGAAAAATGTCCACAAAGCATTTTTCAAGAACTGACATAAATCCTAAAACTGTCATTCTTTTTATTTCGAATCCATTAAACTCTCCACTCTTCTGAAGTATGTCCAACTAGACGAAACCATTAAGCTAATATAGTAATCCAACTGATTAAAAGATTTCTTTTTATTTAAGGAGAAAGAAGAAGAAGTGATTTTGATCAGAGCGCTATTTACTATATAGTTATATCTACCCGGACGTTCTCTCTCCTATTATCGCTTGGCACGTAGGGGGTACGCTGAGGGGCGATTTTAACAAGAAGCCTGACTCCTCCTACCACAGCCCGAATCGCGTTTTCATGCCATCAAAATCGATTCGCTGGCGTTAGCCTTTTTGTCCCATTCCGCAATGTTCGAGGACACTTAATCTTTTATTGGGATTTAAAAATTTTTTTTACACAGGTGTGCGTGGTAAGTTTTGTAATTCCTTCTTTTTTTGCCACAAAATTCCCCTAACAATCATTGCTTCATATTTAGATATTGAAGTATTCTCGAAAATTCACTCTTGTCAAGAACTGTTGAAAACTAGTTTTCGAAATTGCTCGGGAAAACGTTTTGTAGAATAAGTTGTGTTTACCGCACGTAACGCCTCTTGAGAATTTAGTAAAGGTCGGTACTTGAAGTTAGTTTTCGAACAAAGAGGCCTCGTGAAAATGAAATTATTACATGGAAACAAGTACTCTGCGCTGATAACAGTTTTCTAACAATTAGATTGTAATTACTATTTTTTTAATCATTTGGGAGTTTATATCAATCATCTATTTTCCGTTAATAGAAAATGGGTTTTGGGTATATATTGAATATGAGTTCCATTATGATGCACGTCCAATCACTTCGACTCGATTACGAATGGCAGGAAATGGTCTACACCCTATACCTTCGATTCCCTGTCGAGTCTCGGAAAACAAATGGATGTTCAGATTTGCCTGCTTCCGTTGTTTAGAAAGGGACAGAAACAGAAAAAAAAATTGTCTCTACTTCTCTCTCTTGCTCACTTGCAGTCTCTACAAACCACTTGTCTTCCTTCGAAGTACCCTTTATCGGGAAGCTGTCAAGTTACTTTTGAAGGTCCCTCTGCGCATGCAGAGTAACGCAAACAAATTATCTCTCGATGACTTTGAGAAGGGGAGTCCGTTCTTGCAGTTCACTTTAACTTCCTGTCTCTCCGGACTTGCGGAGAAAGTTATCAATTTCGATTCTCTCTCCATCATACTATATGTTCTGTTCTAGAATTTGCGATAAAAGAGCATACTTTTAAATCTTCTTCTTTGTCATGAAAATTCAAAATGGCGGATCCAAAATGGCGGATTTTTAATAAAACACTATTAAGAGGTTTTTCTCGTCACTGATAAAGAATTTAAATAGATTAAAAAAATTCCCACTGATTTTGATAATTAGAAAAACGACACTAGCAAACTGTTATTTTTAAGATGGATTTTCGAAAGTTCCAAGAAGAGATTTTAAGGGATTAGAACATCCCATCTTGGGCTTAAGCAGAGACTTTCGTTTCGGAACTTCCGTCACTTTTACGATCATGAATACGAGTCTTCTTTAATTAAAAAAAAAAGTGACACGAACAGTTTGTGTCTAAAATTAAAGAATGTAATGAAAATCGACTTCGTAGAGGAAAAGTCTCATCGAAAATCTACTTTCAATTAATTATTTACGAAATCAAAGACATGTCTCATCTTGGAAATATCTATTTTAAAAATAACACATGATGGATTGTTGGATAAATCAAGAATATTGGAACTAAAAATATTAGAGATATATTAAAAAAGGCTTTTCAACGCTTCACGACAGGGACCACAATATCAGATTGAAATCCAATACGAAAGCTCCCTTTCTTTATACTCGAGCCCATTTTCGATCATGTTATGAGACAAGCCAAGTGTTTCACCTTTCGGCATTCTTTTTTCGTCAATGTCATCAACGACCAACACCCTCGAGGATTAACGACATTCTGAAAAAATTTGTCTTCAAAACAAAAACACATTACTCACACGATGATTTATTTTTTTAAATAGGAGCAATCAATTTTAATTTAGAACTTTTGGTTTAGACTTACTCATCAAAACAACTTTTAAAAGGTCGATTTTTTAGGAATTTTTGCTGAGAAAACTATTGATTATTTCAATTTAAAAGTTAATGTATATATGAAGGGTACTTTGGACTTTATTTTGACATATTTTATTTATGAATATAATTACTCACGCGATGATTAATTTTTTTATATAGGAGAAATCAATTTTAATTTAGAAATTTTGGTTTAGACTTACTCATCAAAACAACTTTTAAAAGGTCGATATTTTAGGAATTTTTGCTGAGAAAACTATTGATTATTTCAATTTAAAAATTAATGTATATATGAAGGGTACATTGACTTTATTTTGACATATTTTATTTATGAAAATAATTACTCACGCGATGATTATTTTTTTATATAGGAGAAATCAATTTTAATTTAGAAATTTTGGTTTAGACTTACTCATCAAAACAACTTTTAAAACGTCGATTTTTTAGGAATTTTTGCTGAGAAAACTATTGATTATTTCAATTTAAAAATTAATGTATATATGAACGGTACTTTGGACTTTATTTTGACATATTTTATTTATGAAAATAATTTTTTTAAAACTTCTATAAAGAATTTGCGAAAGCTCTGGCTTACATTGGTTTAGACTTACTCATCAAGACAACTAAAAGGTGTCAGCGGTGGGACTTTTGGATTTTTTCGTTACAACGGTGGCAGCGGTGGGATTTTTTTTGCTGTTCATAAAGAAATTTCACTACCAGTGAGGTGGACGACGAATGTAGTAAGTTCATGACCAATCTAATCAAGTTCGATACCTTATTTTAATTTCCAAACTGACTTGTGACTCAGGACAAATTAATTTCATCATTGGAACATTTTATATTACATTATAATTTAATGCACCTCACACGGGAAGTGACAATATGTTTAGATAAATAAAATTTCAGATCCCCTTAAGAAATTGTTATTAAAATTTCAACAAGAAACATCGTCTAAAATTATTTTATTTTTTAAGAAAAAAGAAATTTCCCTTCCCTCATGAAAAATGGAAAGTGGACTCACAGTGAAAGTGTAAACACGGAAACATTTGACTTTAACGATAAAGTATTTTCCACTCTCGACGAAAAGAGTCTCAAGGGTGTAAGAAAAATTTTTGCCAACATCTAAAACTGCTTGAACCTGAAGTCACATTTCGAGGAAACTGGTACGGTTAATCAGTCGTAAATGGGATCATGTGATGAGCTTAGAGCTTGGATGAGGACGAAACCTTGGGCATCGTGCGCGCACACACCAACCATCGAAAGATATCGTTTTCTAGAAGGGCAAGTACATTTCTGGGTAATCTTGCCTGGGATGTGAGACTTTTTTATGGTTAGTGCTAAAACCTCGCCAAATGTGAGAGAAGGCCGAGGAAAAAGAAAAGGAATAAAAGTAAAATGAAAGGAAAGGGAAGAGAGAGAGAGAAAGAGAGTTCCGGGAAAACAGCCAAGGCGGTAAGATTGCCTCTTTTCTAATTTATAACTAGGTGAGGCTCGCCTTAACAATTTACGCCTTACCCTATATACCTTTGACTACCACTGTAACAAGCTACGACCTACGACGTCGAGGCTGTCGAGAGAAGAGATTGGCCTCACCAAATACAATATATATACTTGTTTTTTTTGAAACTCTGTCCTTTTCTCTTTCGATTTGTTCTACTCGAATTCAAAGAACGTACGTCTTTCTGTCGACACGAATGGTTGGAATTAGATTTATAGTTAACTTTTCATTAATTTTTTTTCTTCAATTTCTATAATGTCTCGTAGATTTTTTAAAATTACAATTTTTAAACTCTAGGTTTTTCTTTCGATTTTCAGCTTAAAAAAGTTTTCTATTCAAATTAGTTTGATGTGTGCCACTTACTTGTCTTATCATTCTGTCAAAATAAATTCGGTTTTACGCTAAGTGCTTATTGACACAACCTACTTCACTCTTTTTTAAAATCTTTAAAAAATTGTCAAACTACGTTTCAGAAAAGACTTTTAATGTAAATTTAATTTCTCCAATGTTACAAGATTTTCGTACAATCTAGACTTGGGGAAAATCTGTAATTTTTGAAAAATTTAAAATTTTGCAAAATCAACTTTGGGGTCAACAAATATTTAATTATATTTTTGTTGACCCCAAAGTTGATTTTGCAAAATTTCAAGTCAATTGCAAAATTCTTTGACAAAATTCAATTATTTCTATAAATAAAAGCATTCATTACAAGAATTCAATTATTTTCAAAAATTTTAATAAAATTCATGTCAAAATTGATATAATAATAAAATTCAAATGTTGTATGTTCTATTTCGCGTCACCCAGGAGGTTGAACATCAGACTCATAGTCCAATATTTTCCAGGAAGTTTGGTTGCAGCAAAAAACCTCAAGAATATTGTCCCATGAGAGAAGAAGAATTAAATTAAAATGGATAATTAAGAAAACTGACAGAAATACGAATACAAATTTACAACAGAAGGATATTATGATTCATCTAAAAAGTTGAATTCGATTTTTTGATTTTCACTCAAGAGAAATTATACATTTACTTTTGCCGAATAAGATTTTAATTTCAACCAAATAAATACGTTAGTCGTCCTATAAGAAAAATATATTAATTGAGGGGCTGGATGCTATAATGTGTTACGCGTTTATTCAGTAAATTGCGCGTAACTATTTAATTCAAATAAATTATATTTGCTTTAAATAAAACATTTCTTTGGATCTTGAAATGATAGAAAATGAAAATTCAATTATAAATTCAAACATGAAAATTTTTTTCAACTAATAAAAAAAAATTATTTAATGATGAGAAGAGTCCAAGCTTCGTCTTTCCTATCGGAAAAAACGGACGGTTGGAGTTTTCTATCATTAAAATAGTAACTTTAAACATGTACCTGAAGTGAAATGGCTGAAACAGAAGAAACACAAAAATTAACGAGAGAGAAATTTTAATTCAACATAGCGACACTGAAAAAAAACATTCACATACAGAAAAAAAATTATATTTTCCTACCTAAACCGAGTGAACGAAAAAAATCACACATTCCACACCTCCGGAGGTGTGTGGCCCCGGTGCAAACCTAGGGATCCGTCCCGGGACCGGTATCCGTCACCTGAGCTCAAATTGTCTCATTTTCATTGAAAAAGTAAAAGCAAAAAAAGAGTACAATGAACAATGAAATCCTGAAATAATTAGCAAGTTTCAAAAGTTTAATTTTACAAACCCGAAAGTTTGTATAATTGAAAAAAAATTGAAAATTACTAATTTCGACAGATTAATTTCTGAAATAGAGATCATTTTAGAAATTAATAATTTCAGGTTGTGTCGCTGTGTTAGTAGGGGAAAAAAGCACTCACCGTCGCGGATTCCCACGACGGAGCGATAATAATTAAATTAAAAATAAGTTTAAATAAAAAAAAATTCTAAGTAAAAATAAATAAAAATTAAATAATTAATTACAATAAAAAAAAAAATTTAATAAATTATTTAATTGAAAAAAATAAATGATTTAATTAATGATTAAAATAAAAAAAAAAATTAAAGATATTTATTAAACTTACAGCAGTCAGTCTCAGCGGCACTCGTACGATGTCATCTTGGGCACAAAAAAAAAATTACACTCACCCCCGGTTTCAAAAATATTTCGACCACTCCCGAACCACGTGTCAAAAATTAAAAAAAAGGGGTGGACACTTTTTATTACATAAACGATCGCGGTTTTAAATATTACGAACACTCCCGTTATTATAAAAGGGTAAAAATTATTTTATATTAAATTCGCAAAAAAAAAATTTTTTTTCCCTAAAATTCGTTTCAATGATTTTTAATAAAAATTTCTCCAAAAAATCCAATTATTAAACTAAAATTTTGACAATATTTTAACATGAACATTCAATTATTTTCCAAACAAATAAAAATTTTACAGAAATTCAATTATTGAAAATAAAATTTGCATAAATTTTATCGAAAAAATCAACTGATTCAAAATTTGACATTTAAATTCTTCGTAGTAATTCAATTATTTTCATAAATTTTAAAATTCTTTTCAGGGATTTAATTATTTTTATAATTAAATAAAATCATTCGGGAGAAGTCAATTATTTTTAAAAATTTAAATAAAATTCATTGCAAATTTAATAATTGAATTCTTTTGACGAATTTTAAGAAAATTTTTAGAATTTTTACAATTTTCAAGCAATTTGATTGAAATTGTATTAAAAATATAATTGAAATTCTGCAATGAATTTTATTATTTCTGAAAATAATATTGAATTATTAATAGAAGAAGATTATAAAAAATTTGTAAATAATTAAATTCTTGTGAAATTTTTATTAATTATAACAATAATTAAATGTACAATTTTATTAAAATTGTTTCTAAATAATTCAATTCTTTATTGGGTAATTTTATTAAAATAGTGAAAAAAATTGAAAATCATTTAAATTAGGAAAATTTTTGAAAATAATTGAATTTCGAAGAATTTTTTTTTATTTATAAAGATAATAATTGTATATTTTTGTAAATTTTGAATATAATTGAATTTTGAGATAAGAACGTTATTACTTTTGAAAATAATTGAATTTTTCCAATCATTTGTAACTTCTTGAAAATTAAATTTTTTTAGTGTTGTTTTTTTACTAAAATTCTTCTATAAATCCATTATTTTTAATGGAATATGGCAGAATAACACGTAACAAAGGAAAAACGAACTTCATACGTTAAGAAATGTCGAAACAGCGCATTTGTTAATTAAGATTTGTTTAAACAATTATGAAATATTCTTAGAAATTTAGCATGTAAATTGAGTCTTATAACATAATAGTTAACAATTTATTTTGCTCAGAAAATAATATTTTTGTTAATCTCAAAGTCAATAACGTCATAATTAATTATTAATTATTATTAATTTTTATAAATGACAAATGGATTTTTGACAAAAATTCTCTGTAAATTTGTACTATTGTCAAATTTGGTCAAAATTATGCTCAAAAAATTCCAAACAATGTTTACAAAAACGATAAAATTGTAATCTTCCATTTATTTGTTTATAACAAAATAAAATTTTTTCAACAATGCAATAGTAATTATAATAAACGATATATTCCAATTCATATTTTATTTTTATAAAAAAAAATTTTAATAAAAAATTTTTAAGTTCTATTATTTTTAAAATAAGACATAATTTTTTATAGAATATGTTTGTTTGGAAAGTTGTGTATGTCGCCCTGTAGGAATGTACGATAAAACTTAAAGGAGGTCAAAGGAGGAAATGCGGTTCGGAAAACAAAGCTGTAACTAGATAAGAGACGCCTTTTGCTGCTACTATAGTATGTCAGAAACTAAAATCGACAGAACGTCACAATATTCTGGAATGCTTTTTTGAAACCAAAATATGTGAGTTGTTATATATCTTTATTTGACTTGATGTTGAATTGTCCAGTCATCTATATAAGACGGAACAGTTTTTCGTTATGATTGATTCCATTCTGACCCAGTTCAAACATGTTGGTACTGGTTATCGACAGGGCACGTCGTGTTCCTCGACAAATATTCTCATTTCGAACTTTTCACGTTTACCTCTTGTCCACTATACGTGTCTAACATACGACCTCTAGTCCCCTGGTAGGGAGATTGACCAAAAGGGTCCTCCAATAGCCACAAAAAAATTTTTAGCCAAAGATGATAAAATTCAATGATTTTTTCTTGTCAAAAATAGTTATGAGTACACCATCAAAACTCATAAACATTTTTTACAAGAAAAAATCAATTTTTGATAAATATTTCTAGAAGCCTGTATCGATGCAAATTTCAGTAAATCGAAAGCAGGCTTTTTTTAGCAAGATGAAAAATCAATTATGTATAGAGAAACACGAGGAGGAAAATTATCGACTTTAATCTCTCGATGAAGAAAATAAAATAAAATTTATGAAACATTTTTGGTGCAGTTTCCAAACCGTTACACTGTTGCTGATTCTTTCTGACTTCCAATATATATGTAGAAAGAGAGAGAGAGAGAGGGTGGTAATGGCAGAGATGGTGAACGGTTTTCATGTTGCATGAGGGCAACGCTGCTCCATTTCCCATTAAGAAAATGAAATTTGCAATGCAGATCCTTTAGGGTTTTCTGCATTCCGATTGGAGCTTGCACGCTTCACGTCTAATCGAAAATCAAGACTCGTGGCAAAGTAACGTCCAAAAATTGACTAAAGTCTTTTTCCCCCCACACTGAGAGACAATTTTTCGAACTACTGTTCTAGAATCATCAAATCTCTTAAGACACATGACTTGAAAATTCAAAATTTCTTAAGTGTGTCTTTGTCCAGAAATTTGGGATTATTTTTAAAAAGGAAAATTAAATTATACTATTATAAATTAAATGAATAAGAGAAGAAATATTACAATGCATAAATGTTAAAAAATGTCGGAATATATTATTATGAAGATAGATGTCAAACGTATTTTTTTTCTGTACATGTTGCTCCATGAGATATTGATACACAAGATGCATTTGTTGCGAATATAAGGTAAAAGGAATATCACTTTGATAGAAAGCTTTTCTGAGTACAAACTTAGAATAGTGTACATAAAGAAAAATAAAGCATCAACATCAAAGAAAAATTCTCGTTCTATCTCAATCAAAGAGATTTGAAAGATAGAAATCAGGATCTTGAGAAGAAAGAATCTACGAGACCCAACTAATTTTATTGGATTTTTTTTCTGTACTATTGTTCCAAAAGACGTGGTACTGGAAAATAAATTTAATAAACTGTTTTACATTAGAATAATGATGAGTATATGGAAATACTAATACGATAATTATTTGTTCTATAAAGAGGATTTTTATATTTTTATTGTTTAGTTTAACGTTTGTTAAACTAAAAAATAAAAATCAATATCTCAACATTACTTGAGACCTTGTTGATTGTTACACGATTAGGAATTTTCTAAAAAAATTTTTTTTGCTGTTTTACGAATTTTTTGTTTTTCTGGTGGTGGCAGCGGTGGGATCTTTTGCTGATTTACGAATTTTTCATTTTTCTGGGTTTTTAAAAGTTGTATAAAGAATTTGCGAGAGCTCTGGCTCACATTGGTTTAGACTTACTCATCAAGACAACTAAAAGGTGTCAGCGGTGGGACTTTTGAATTTTTCGTTATAACGGTGGCAGCGGTGGGATTTTTTGATGATTTACGATTTTTTCGTTATAACGGTGGCAGCTGTGGGATTTTTTTGCTGTTTAACGAATTTTTCGTTATAACGGTGGCAGCGGTGGGCTCATTTGCTGATTTACGAACTTTCCATTTCTCTGGGTTTTTAAAACTTCTATAAAGAATTTGCGAGAGCTTTGGCTAATATTGGTTTAGACTTACTCATCAAGACAACTAAAAGGTAGATATTTTAGGAATTTTTGCTGAGAAAACTATCGAGTATTTCAATTTAAAAATTAATGCGTATATGAAAAGTACTTTGGACTTTATTTTGACATATTTTATTTATGAAAATAATTTTTTTTAAACTTCTATAAAGAATTTGCGAGAGCTCCGACTAAAATTGGTTTAGACTTACTCATCAAGACAACTAAAAGGTGGCAGCGGTGGGACTTTTGAATTTTTCGTTAGATCGGTGGCAGCGGTGGGTTTTTTTTTTGTTTGACGAATTTTTGTTATAACGGTGGCAGTGGTGGGATTTTTGGATGATTTACGATTTTTTCGCTATAACGGTGGCAGCGGTGGAATTTTTTAGTTTTTCGTTATAAAAGTGGCAGCGGTGGGATCTTTTGAAGCTGGAAACGTCTTGAAACAACAAAGAGAGCAATTGACGTTGGAGAATGGAATTTTAACTTAAACAACAACTAACAAAGTAGTAGTAAGTAATAATTGAGTCAGGCAAGTATATGGTTTGGATCAAGAAAGGATAGGTGGAGAAAGGAGGCGGAAAGGGTGATCGCACATGACTGGAATTCTAAAACAATTCAACTCTCAAGTTCGTTGTACTTTCATCAATTTTAGTTTCAACATGTTCGATTCGTCGACCAACCGGATTATTTAACGCGTTGTTGATTTTAGTCGCAACCAACGCTACGCGTTTTGCATTTTACCAATTTAGAGACGCTGATAACTCAAAAATCGAAAATGCACATCTACAGATTTATAAAAAAAAGGATTCATTCAACTCTATTCCTCTTTTTCGACGCATTTATTTTTTTCCCCCGCAAAAAAACAATATTGAATTTTAAAACTGTAATTCTTAACTTATCCTAATTATTAATTATCCTTATTTTCTCTTCATCATCTTCTTCATCATTCTTACTAGAGTAAAAAATTTATATTGGAAAAAAATTCAAAAAAAAAAAATTACAAACAAAAAAATGTTATCAAAATAAAGTATTTATATTTTAATTTCGAAAATAATTGTATTTCCATTTCCGAAGGACGTTAAACGACTTGGAAAGCGACAATGGTTTTCAGTGGAGAAGACGATTTATGGTCAGCCAACCTTTCCCCTTCATCGGAAAGTAATTCACGCTTCAGTCTTGCCTACTCTTTAATTAAATTTATATTCAACAGAAGCATTATTTTCGGCACTGAAAGATTAATTAAAAATTTAATATAACGGAATAAACGAAATTCTTTTTATTTAATTAAAAAATTGAATTCACAAATTTCTAATTCGGTAATACTTTGAAAATTTTAAACAACAAATTTTCGAAACCAGTCGAAGTAACCGTACCAAATAATTTTAAATAAATATTAAGATTTTTAAAAATTTCAAACCATTGAAAATTTAATAATTTATAAAAATTGCTACGTACATTCTTTTAAATTCAAGACTTCAAATTTGATTATTTTATTGAACTTTTAATTAAAATTATTCTCCAAATCAATTATTTTTAATAATTTAAATAAAAAATTTTTAAAATTCAATTATTCAATAATTATTCAATTATTCAATTATTATTCAATTATTTAATTATTATTCAATTATTCAATTATTAAATGAAAATTTACTTAAAATACGTAGAAAATTCACTTGCTTTCAATTCAATTTTAATTTGATATAAAAGTTTGTAAATAAATAAAATCTTTATAATTTTTAATTAAACTAGTAAAAACTTAATAATTTTCAAATATTAGATTTAATTTGAAATTATTATTTCTAGAAATTCTACTATAACTCTTTTTAAGATTAAATTATTTTCTTAAATTTTTAATTAAAGTTCTTTTCTGAATCAATCATTTTAATTAAGTTTGAGAAACTTCTTTAAGAATCAATATTTTTAATATTTTTAAATTATTTTTATTATTATTTATGCTTTTAAAATCCACTTGTTTTCAATTCAATAAATTTTACGAAATTTCGATTGTTAAAAAATTTTTCAATTAAATATCTATTAATTTTTATAATTTAACCTAACATAAAAAAAATTGAATAAAAATTTTTCGAAAAACAATTTTTTTCAAAATTTTTAATTATTAAAACTTTTTAAAAATTAAAATTTTCTAAAATTTCAACTTGAAGCCTTTTGAAATGCAATTGTTTGTAAAACTATTAACGCAACTCTTTTAAAATTTAATTATTATTATTATTGAACTTTTAAAGTAAAATTTTTCTCTATTTTTATAAGTAAATAATAATTTTATGATAGCATAAAAATGATTAAATTATTTAAAATAGATACAATTTCATATTATGTAAAGTTTCATTATTGTGAGAAATAAAAAAAAAAATTATGTTTTGTAAATTGCGATTTTGGTTATTAGTAAAAATTAAATTTAAAAATGTTTAATTATTAAAAGGATTAAAAGCAAAAATTTGAGGTTATGTTTGTAATTTTCGTAATGAAAATACACAAAGCGGATCGACTCTCAAGATCTAAAATAATTATAATAATAAAGATTGATTGCAATTTTAACAAGTAAAGAGAAAATTTTAATAAGTGTAATAAATAACAAACACAAATATTATAAAATTATTTGCTTTTTAAAAGTACTTTTATTCGGATTGCGTCGCATTAGTTAAAAACATTTTTTGGTCTTCCCAGATTAAATTAAAAGCATTCGAAAAAGAATTATTCAACCATAAAATTAGTGAAAGTATAGTAATTTTGTATAAAATACCTAACTTTCGTTTAACCTAATATTTAAAATCCTTTTTTTCTCTATTTTAACAAAAAATGTAAGAAAATAATAATAATCAAACACTTTTTTATTGTTTTTTTTAAATCCGCGATTATTGTAGAAAAGCATAAACTTTTTTTTTCGAATTCGACAACCCAACCCTGCTTTTTCGAAAGTTCGCAAACTCACCGCAGCACAGCGCCACTGCTATTGACTATATTAACGATTTCATGTCAAATCTTTACCTTCTTACATCTGTGGTTTAATCCTGGGGAAAAACAGTTTTCATAGCACAGGGAATTCACATCGAGTTTAATTGCAAAGAAGAAAATAAGAAGAAAATGTCTGAAGACAACAACATTCTGGAAAACGATAATTGTAAGTCATTTTTAACTGTGAAAAAATAATAATCCGAATGACAGGAGGAAAATAACGTTCAACGCTTGCCGCTTGACTATCAACTAATGGCGGTTTTCCTTTTTCATTTTTTTTTCTCCTACTAACAAAAAAAAAATCCGAGAACCGAAAAATTCTCTTGTGGTTTGTTTATTTTCATATTTTTGAGACAAAAAAGAAAATCAACTCATTGTCTGTAAAAAAATACGACAGTTACGATTTTTGAAAGAAAAATTTCAACGTTGTCTCGAGAAGGAAAAATATTTTTTGACATTTCAGAATTTTTTTCTTGACGAAACTGAAAAAAAAATTTTATCCCATTTTCTTCAATTTATTAAAAAAAAATTAATTTAATTTAAAAGTCATTAAAAAATTAATTAATTGAATTTAATTTAACAGTTATTAAAAAATTAATTAAATTTTTTCCAAAGCTATTTATTTTTCAGTTTAAAATTTACGAATCAGGTAATTTATTTTTTTTAATCAACTTTTCTTCATTAATAATTTTCAATTTCATTTTTGAACTTTTTTATCATTTTTTTTTTTTGACAATGTCTTTTCGTTAAAATTATAATTTGATTTCTATATTTAAAAACTACTTTTTGAGGTTATCTCTAAAAAAAATTACCTTCCAATTTTATCTTCTCTTGTAATTGATAATTTTTTTTTGTAAGTTCAATTTCTTACAAAATTTTCTTAATTTTAATAATGTAATTTTTTAAATTAAAAACACAATTGATAATTTTTTTTTTAAATTCAATTTTTTTCAAAATTTTCTTAATTTCAATAATGTAATTTTTTAAATGAAAAAATTGATAATTTTTTCAAAATTCAATTTCTTACAAAATTTTCATAATTTCATTAATGTAATTTTTTAAATTAAAAAACACAATTGATAATTCTTTTTTCAAAATTCAATTTTTTACAAAATTTTCTTAATTTCAATAATGTAATTTTTTATAAATTAAAAAACACAATTTTCGTGAAATTTAATTATTGAGTTGAAAAAAAAAATTCATTGGATTTGGCATTAAAAAATATTTAAAGTAGAGTCTGAGAAATATAAAGGACGATGAAATTTCAGATATTGTATAATATAATAAAATGAAAAAAGAACATTTCAAGAATATTTGAAATAAAAAAAAAATCTCGTAAAAACTTTAAAACGTTTTGCAAAGTAAGTAATTAGATATTAAAATATAAATTTCTGCTTTTAAAATGCATACACATATATATATATATATATATATATATATCTTTTTAAATATTTATTTATAATGTCATTTCGAGCAAGTGAAATTGATGGATTTAAATTATTAAAATCATTCTGTTCATTTGTTACCAATTTTATAACATAATAATTATTTTATGAAATATTTCTCTAGATTAAATATAATCTTTTGCAATTGAAAGCGTGTGCGTTCTAAAAAACATTATATAAAATTCTCAATTAAATATTTACAATTAATAAAAAAAAAAAGTTGGATAAATCTGTGATAAACATTTTTTATTCATTTAATTTAATAATTTATTGTTCAAATATAACCATTTTTAAAATTGTTTTTTTATTATTTATCATTTATTATTTCTACTTATTATTTATTATTTATTATTTCTACTTATTATTATATTTAAAGTAACAAATATTCATTATAATAATTATTGTAAAATTTTTTTTATTATTTTTTTTATTGTTAAAATTAAAAAATACTAACCAGACAATAACTAAACCAAAAAATGAAAATTATTTTTGATTATTCATTTTTCTATTTTACGAAAAAGCCTGTTTATTTTATTATTTTATTTTAGAAACATAACGGGACATGCCCTTTTATTTATTAAATTACTTATTTTTAACATTTTTTTTTAATTACTCAATTTTTATTATTTTATTATTCACCTTTTTAGTCATTTAAATATTATTAAATTGTAATTACTGATTGTAGTGATTTTTGTAAAACATTTTTCTCTGTTAAAATTAATATTCCGCAGTCTCTTTGAAGCTTATAAAATTTTTAATTAAATTTATTTAATTATTTAATTATTTTTAATTTAATGGATAATTTATAATTTATGGAAAAGTTGAAAGTATTTATTACATAATGTACTTTCAATTTACTGTTTAAAAATGAAGAAATAAAATATTTTTTATATTTTTTTTTTAACTGATTGTTAATTTTATTTTAGCGATTTTATTTTCAAAAGAAAATAGAAAATCTAAGGAATAATTTTTTTTTCTAAATAATTGCTTAGGGGAAAATCAAAATGACGAAGTCCAGATGCAAAATTCTCACTCGATTCAAGATGAAGATGTCAGGTATTTTCAAAAATGAAATATTATGTAAAATTCTTTTTTTTAAAGTAGAAAAAATGATTTTAAAAATTATTTAATTATATTCATATTTTAGAAGAGAAAAATTAATTTTTAAATTTTTTTATAATTTTTATTATAATTATAATAAATAATTATTATTTAAAAAATAGAAAAATTTTTTCAATAAATATTACAAAGCTTTTAATAAAAAAAAAAAAAAATTTGAAAAATTCGAAAAATTAATTAGAATAAGAATATTAAAATTTTGACTCGTTTACAGCATTCCTGGATCGAGCCATCAACAATATATTGAAGTAATTATCAATCTGAATTCTTAAAATTAAAATTCTTGTATAAAGAAAAATTTACAAATTTTTATTATTCTTTAAAAATATTTATATTTTTCTTATTTTTTAGGGCGATTTCGACTTGGATGCAGTGATTGAATCAGAAATTATTAGCTTGGACAGTTCGGCCGCTAAACTTTTTGGCAAAGACGTCAAGTACAAGGTAGTAAATTTTAAATTCTAAATTAAAAATTTTTTTTGATATTTTGAGATTCTTTTATTAAAAGAAAATAATTTTTCAAATAAAAAATATTTGCTATTTGTTAATATTATATTGTAAATCGAAAAAAAAATGTTTTTATATTTTGAAATTCTTTTGTTAAAAAAAATAATTTTTCAAACAAGTATAAAATCGTAAAAAAATATTTATTTCTAAAGAAAATTTTAATTCTAATTTGAAAATTATCAAAATTGATAGAAGAATCAAAATTTGAATATTTTATTTTTAAAGGTTTTAGCACAGAACACGGGTCAGTCGGATGACAATTTGGTTGTTATTTCACAAACTCCTGTTGAAGGTTCACCGACTACAACTCCACGATTGATCGATAAAGATGATCCAAGATCGCGACTTCATTTTGTCAAATATTTGAAACGAGAAGGAAAGACTGTCAAAATTTGGGAATGTGGAATATGTAAGATTCCCTTTATCCAATTATTTAAAAACAATTTTAATAAATTTGTACACAAACATTTAATTATTGGCAAAAAATAATAAAAATTTCACAGGAATTCAAATATTTACAAATTTTTTCATAAAAAATATTTATTTTCATAAATATTTTAATTCTTTGCAAGAATTAAAATATTTTAAAAAATAATTAAATATTATTATAAAAAAATTTGTAAATATTTTCATAAATAATAAAATGTTTCGAAGGAATTAAATTCTTTTTATTAGAATTTTAATAAAATTTCTCGAAAGAATACAATTTATTTAAAAATAATATTTAAACTTAATTATTTTCAAGAATTTTAATAAAAATTTAATTATTCTCAACAATTCTGATGAAATATTCTTCGAATCAATTGAATTCTTTTTATAAATTGTGAAATTCTTGTCAATAATTTAATTATTTTCATAGATAATAAAATGTTTCGGGGAAATTAAATTATTTTCAATATAATTTTAATTACATTTTCTCGAAAGAATTCAATTATTGAAAAAAATGTTGATAAAATTCTTGGGAAATGAATTCAATTATTTTCAAATTTTTTTTTACAATTTTTTTTACAATTATTTCTGAAAATAATTAAATTCTTTAATAGAATTTTATTAAAACTTTTTTAAATAATTGAATTCCAGCGAAAAAAATTTATTATTTCTACAAATAATTGAATTTTTACAAAATTTAAAAAAATAAGTGAATTATTGACAAGAATTTTATTAAAGTTGTATTTAAATTTTTAAAATAATTTAATTCATGTGAAAAATTTACTATTTACTGATATTATTGAATTTTTTCGATGAATTTAAAAAACATGTTAAAAAATAATTTAATTTTCCCTGGAATTCAATTAAAATTGTATTTAAAATAATTGAACTCGTGTGAAAATTTCATTATTTTTAAAAATAATTTAATTTTCTTAAATTGAATTTTATTAAAAGTTTTTTAAATAATAATTAAACTCCTGTGAAAAAATCAATTATTTTTTTTTAATAATTGAATTTTGTCGGAGAATTTTTACAAGATTTTTAAAAATAATTGAAATTTTCGAAGAAATCAATTAAAATTGTACTGAAAATAGGTAAGTAAAATCCTAAAAAAAATTTTATTATTTGTATAAAAATAATTGAATTTTTTACGAAGATTTTTTAAAATAATGGAGTTTCTTTAATAATTTTAATTGAAAATTTTGAAAGCAATTGAATTTTATGAAGAAGAATTTCATTAAAATTGAATAGAAAAAAATTGAATTCTTGCGAAAGAATTTTACTATTTATAAAAATATTGAATTGCTTCGAAGAATTTATTAAAATTTCAGGAAATAATTGAAATTTATGGAAATATTTGAATTCATCAGAGGAATTCAATTAAAATTGTTTTGAAAATAATTGAATTCCTGCAAAGAATTTTTAAAAATTTTAAGAAATATTTGAAAATATAGAAATTTGTCGAGAAATTCAATTAAAGTTTTTTCGAATATAATTCAATTTCTTTAAAGTATTTTATTAAAATTAACTATATTCAAAATAATTGAATTCATCACAAGAATTTTATTATTTTTTTGAAAATAACTGAATTCATTCAATTTTTTTGACGAATATATTTAAAAATTGCATTGAAAGTAATTTAATTTTTATATAGAATTTTTTAAAAATATTTTCAGAATAATTGAATTATTTTTTTGGAGAATTTTAAATTCTTGTTGAAATTGAATTTTATGGAAATTTTTGAAAATAATTAAATTCTTTCGTATAATTTTATTTCAATTTTGATTAAAAATAATTTATAATTCCTGCAAAGAATTTTAGTATTTATAAAAATAATTGAATTGTTTCGAAGAATTTATTAAAATTTCAGAAAATAATTGAATTCTTTCATGAAATTTTATTAAAAATAATTGAATTTTTGCAAAGAATTTTACTATTTAAAAAAATAATTGAATTGTTTCCAAGGAATTATTAAAATTTTAGAAAATAATTGAATTGTTTCGAAGGATTTATTACATTTTAGAAAATAATTGAATTTATTCGAAATGTATTAAAAAATTGTTTTGAAAATAATTGAATTTGTGCAAAGATTTTACTATTTATAAAATAATTGAATTGTTTCGATGTTTTTATTAAAATTGTAGAAAATAATTGAATTTTTTGAAAAATATTATTAAAAAGTTTTTAAAATTTGAATTCATTTATGAAATTTTATTAAAATTATTCAAAATAATCGGATTTTTGCAAAAAATTTTACTATCTAAAAAAATTATTTAATTGCTTCCAAGTATTTATTAAAATTTTAGAAAATAATTGAATTCTCTCGTGAATTTTTATTAAAAATAATTGAATTTTTTGAAGAAAGTTTATTGTTTAAAAAAATAATTGAATTCTTTTGAAGGATGTTATTATTTATGAAAATAATTGAATTCTTTTGGAAATTGTATTAAAATTTTGTTCAAAATAATTGAATTGTTTCGAAAGATATATTACATTTTAGAAAATAATTGAATTTATTCGAAATGTATTAAATTTTTTTTGAAAAATTGAATTCTTCAGAGGAATTTAATTGAAATTGTTTTGAAAATAATTGAATTTGTGCAAAGATTTTACTATTTATAAAAATAATTGAATTGTTTCGAAGGATTTATTAAAATTTTAGAAAATAATTTTATAACGAATTAAAGAAAAAAATTACATTCTATGTTTAGAAGGATTTATTAAAATTTTAGAAAATAATTGAATTTTTGCAAAAATATTAACTATTTATGAAAATAATTGAATTGTTCCGAAGAATGTTATTATTTATGTAAAAATAATTGAATTTTTCGAAGAATTATATAAAAAATTTTGAAAATATTAATTAATTTTATACTTAATAAGTGAATTTAAAAAATTTTGATTATGAAATTATTTAAAATTTTATATTTGAAAATAAAAAATTTTGTAATTTGCATAAGAATAATAAGTTGAAGTTCACATTTTTCCTAAGGAAAGTCATTTTTTGTGATCCGTAAAATTAAAAAATCCGAAATAGATGATTTTGAAAAATTTTCATCCCTTGGTAAAAGTTTTGAAAGAGTTTTTTTTTTTTTTTTTTTTTTTTTGGAGTTACTTTAATAAAAATTTTGTGGTTCTTTTCTTTTGCACTTATGAAAAATTGTAGGCACAAAAGAGTTTAGACATCAGTACACATTGATGCGACACCTACCAACGCACACAGACGAGAGAAACTTCAAATGCGAAGCTTGTGGCAAGGCCTTCCGACAGCTCTCGACTTTGAGCCAGCACAAGGCCATTCACAGCGACGCGAGGCCGTATGTCTGCGAGTTTTGCAAGAAGACCTTCAACAGGTTGGTTCTAACGCTATACTCTCAAGTACTTTATCGCGGTGCTTTTAACGGCTCACATTGCAGGGTCTCAACTCTTATCTCTCATCGGAAAACACATTCTGAACACAAACCACACAAGTGTCACATTTGTGGAAAGGGATTTCATCAGAAAGGTATATTTTTATGTGGAAACGATGAGACAAGATGTTTTTTCTCTCTCTCTCTCTCTCACACACTTTTCTGATATACTTTCTTCATTCATGGCAAAAAAAAAAAATAAAAAAAAAAAATTTAGGAAACCTGAGGAACCACGTCTTCACTCACACGAACGAGAGACCATACAAGTGCGAGCTTTGTGCCAAAGGTTTTAATCAAATGTCAAATTTGGTGTGCCATAAAGTCAAGGCTCATGCTTATGTGGAGAAGATGCAATATGTCTGCGAAATATGCGAAAAGGAATTCCCCCGGCGGTTCTCTCTTCGTGCTCATGAGGAGCAGAAGCACGGTATCAAATACCGTAATTCTTCTTCGGCATCGGAATCCTCTTCAAGTACGGATAGTGTCAAATGGTGAGTACTAATTTCTTCACTTGTCCTGTATTTTTTATTCTAAATATAATCCAAAAGATTTATTCTCTGAGGATCCTGGTTTAGAACTAATATTATAAAAAATCTCTATAGAGATTTTTAAAAAAAAATTTTTAAGAAAAGAAAAATTATAATACTTAGATTCACTTTACAATCTTTTGTAACTCTTGAAATATCGTTTGACTAACTTCTTGTTTCAAATGTCTTCATTTGACTTTAATAAATCTTACTTCAATAGGCTGTGGCACTACTACTCCAAAATTGCAAATAAAATTTTTTAGCCTTCAGGATGTTGTTCAGCAACATTACAGCAACCATTCAGTTTGTTAGCAGTCCATAAAAAATAATACAATTGAAAAGAATTTAATTTAAACGTATTTTTATGACAATTATGATCTTCTGCTAGAGCTCGGCTGCGGCTACTACTATCAGAAAGCGCTTAAAAAGTACAATAAAATTTTTTAGCCTTCAGGAAGTTGTTCAGCAACATCCGAACCACAATCTTAATTGTTAGAAGTCCATAAAAAATGATAGAATTAAAAAGAATTTAATATAAACATCTTTTTACAACAATTATTATCTTCTGCTAACGTTCGGCAGCAGCTACTACTATTAAAAAGCGTTTAAAAATTACAATAAAATTTTTTACCCTTCAGGATGTTGTTCAGCAACATCTCAGCAACAATTTGTAAAGTTAGCAGTCCATAAAAAACAATAGAATTAAAAAGAATTTTATATAAACGTCTTTTTATGACAATTATGATCTTCTGCTAGTGTTCGGCTGTGGTTACTTTTATTTAAAAGCGCTTAAAAATTAGAATAAAATTTTTTAACCTTCAGGATGTTGTTCAGCAACATTCCAGCAACAGCCTAGGTTGTTAGCAGTTCATAAAAATAATAGAATTAGATTTAAAACTCTTTTTATGATAATTATGATCTTCTGCTAGTGTTCGGCTGTGGTTACTTTTATTTAAAAGCGCCTAAAAGTTAGAATAAAATTTTTTAACCTTTAGGATGTTGTCCTGCAACATACCAGCAACAGCCTAGGTTGTAAGCAGACCATAAAAAATAATTAAATTAAATAGAATTAAATTTAAAACTCTTTTTATGACAATTATGATCTTCTGCTAGTGTTCAGCTGTGGTTACTTTTATTTAAAAGCGCTTAAAAGTTAGAATAAAATATTTTAACCTTTAGGATGTTGTTCAGCAACATTCCAGCAACAGCCTAGGTTGTTAGCAGTTCATAAAAAGTAATATAATTAAATTTAAAACTCTTTTTATGACCATTATGATCTTCTGCTAGCGTTCGGCTGTGGTTACTTTTATTTAAAAGCGCTTAAAAGTTAGAATAAAATTTTTTAACCTTCAGGATGTTGTTTAGCAACATTCCAGCAACAATTTAGTTTGTTAGCAGACCATAAAAAATAATTAAATTAAATAGAATCAAATTTAAAACTCTTTTTATGACAATTATGATCTTCTGCTAGTGTTCAGCTGTGGTTACTTTTATTTAAAAGCGCTTAAAAGTTAGAATAAAATATTTTAACCTTTAGGATGTTGTTCAGCAACATTCCAGCAACAGCCTAGGTTGTTAGCAGTTCATAAAAAGTAATATAATTAAATTTAAAACTCTTTTTATGACCATTATGATCTTCTGCTAGCGTTCGGCTGTGGTTACTTTTATTTAAAAGCGCTTAAAAGTTAGAATAAAATTTTTTAACCTTCAGGATGTTGTTTAGCAACATTCCAGCAACAATTTAGTTTGTTAGCAGTTCATAAAAAATAATAGAATTTAATTTAAACGTCTTTTTATGCCAATTATGTTCTTTTGCTAGCGTTCGGTTGCGGCTACTACTATTAAAAAGCACTTTAAAGTTACAATAAAATTTGTTAATCTTCAGGATTTTGTTTAGCAACATCCCAGTGACAATGTTGGTTGTTAGGAGTCCATGAAAAATAGTAGAATTGAAAAGAATTTAATTTAAATTCTGCAAATTCCTTAAACTCTCTCTGTTGATGAGCATTATTTTTATCTTGCAATAGTTTATTTAAACTAACCTAAAATTTATTAGAGGAAAAAAATAAACATGTGAAGAGTATTAAAAGCAAGTGAGAAACACGCAACAACCAAAATTATTATTATTATTAGATATATTAATAGATATAATATTAGTATCTAATTATAATAATAATGTTGGTTCTGTTTTATTACCTTTGGGTCAATGCAATATAATTTTTGTATCAGCCAAGTGTGGATCCAATAGAATGGCTTTGATTTTTAACCTCATATAAGTCTTTTAACCTTCTATCCAATTTTCATAATTCTTCTTAAGATTAATTTCGAAAACATTCTGAAGGAAACATTATTATAATCATTAAAAACCGTTACGTATTATATTATTATTTGTACATTTTTCTATACTCACATTGTTCAGAAGCTTTTGTATTTGAGTTACCTTTTATATATGCCGGTGCATCGTAAGTAATTTCACGTTAAACATAAAAGGTTTTTTTCCCCAGCAGGAGATTTTGTTTTATAATCGTATTACATGTGGGGGAGAACAATGTATTGACAATGCCAAGCGTGCCCCAATTACGCCAAGTATAATTCCGTTGGTGGAGTAATATTCAAATAAAACTTGTTTTTATCAGTCATAATGAGATGTGGATATTAATACAATTAAAAAAAAAATCTTTTGCCTGCTTTTTCACCGTTCGTAATTTTTTAATGTATTTTGCTTGAGAATAAAGAATGCCACCAGCTGTTAGATTCGCCTTTTTTTGTAATTACAAGTTTATGGGTATGAACTAATAATAACTTAATAAAAAAAATTTTTTCTACCTTCAATTTCATTTGTTTTCAAAAGGGTTTTAATATTTTCAAAAGTTTTAATATTCTTAAAAAAATATTAATCTTGATGGTGGTCTTTTAATTTTTTTTTTCGAAAATTAGCAAAACTTTGCCTAAGAATGAAGTTACAAGTTAATTAACCTATAACGGTTAATTGGATTTATTTCTTAATTATTAATTTGACATCGAAAATTATAAAAAAACAGTATAATCCCTAAGACTTTTAACTAATTAAATTTTCACCCAATTTTAACTAATATTAGAATCCGTTAGCACAAAGTGCTCATTTAAGTTTTACGTCCACTATCAGAATTTGGTCACTTTCCGCGTGTAGAGGATCCTCAAAGCTTACTCCTGTTATTTCGAATTCACTTTGGCGCCTTTCAGCAAAAATCTGAAGATCTCTAGTAAGAATAAAATTGTGCAAAAATATGTTTTTAAAAAAATATATTTACCGTTACGTAAATTAATTAATTCCTGAACACTACTAAAAGTAGATAATAGTTCAAACTTAAGGGCCTCAAAAAAAAAAAAATTAAGTTTACAGTTTACGAGGAAATGATATTAAATTTTGTAAATCCGTTTTCAGATTCGTAATCAGCGACCCCAAAAACCCCCGAGTGACGACTTTCAGGCGAATTCGTCCTCTTTTTAAATTTCTCCTCCGCCATTTTGGATCCGCCATTTTGAATTTTTAAAATCTGTCTCCGGATTCGTAATCAGTGACCCAAAATTAAAAGATTAATCGGATTGGCTTGAAAATTGTTACTTGGGGGTTTTTGGGGTCGCTGATTACGAATATGAGGTCCGTTTTCAAAAATTCAAAATGGCGGATCCAATATGGCGGATGAGAAAATTCAAAATTGATCGGATTGGCTTGAAAATTGTTCCTAGGGGGTTTTTGGAGTCGCTGATTACGAATCTGATGGCAGTTTTTCAAAATTCAAAATGGCGGACTCAATATGGCAGATAATTTTTAATTTTAAGCAATTCGATCGAAATTCGTTTCTCGGGGGTTCTTCGGGGTCGGTGAATTTAAATTTGATGTTCGTTTTCGAAATTTTAAAAAATTGCAACTCTCTAGGTACATTATGAAAAAATTTAATTAAAGACAAAATACGATAGAGGTGTTTGTTTTCATGTCTTAGTAATTAGTTAAATTTTTTCAAAAATTTATTTGACAAAGTATTTTCTAAAATTCAATTTTTACTTTTATGTGAATTATGCTGCATGCGTAGCTTCTAGGCTTAAAAGAGAAATTGTAAGGGGGTAACTAAAGGAGAGAAATTGTGTCGACGGCGGCGGAATCTTCTCTGACATGCTGTATGGGTGTTTGTGATCCTATTCCCGACATGTAGAGAATTCCGTTTAACTTTGGCTTGAATTTCATATTTTCCAATAGAATCATAAAACACGTCTTTAGAATTTTATATAATATAAATAATCTTAAAAACGAGGATTAAAAACTTTTTTCACGTCTTCGGCTTTTTTTATTTTATTTTATTTTCTATTTTCATTTCAACTTTTATAATCAACATTTTAATTACGAAACCAGTAAATATGCAAAATTAGAAAGAGATTTTAAAAATAATATTAATATTTTGCCTTTTAAAAAAATTTTTAAATAAAATTTAATAAAATTTTAAAAAAAAATCATGACTAAAAATAAAGCAAGTAAATTTTATTCTGAAATTATTATTTTAATTATAAATGTATATTTTTATGAAATTGAAGTACAAATAACGTGAAAAATACATAAGTTTAAAAGTTACGCGATTCTCTGTCAAATTAAATTCTATTTTTCGCCGCGAAAAAAAAAGAAAATCGTAAATGCAATTCTGTTAAAATCCCTCGAGGAAAAAAAATTGCACTGTATTTTTATTTACCGTGTAAATAAATCCAGTTTTTCAGTTTTATACTATTCGACACTTTCGAGAAATATTTTTTAAAACATACACAAATAAAGTCAATCTGCATAGTGATTAACGTGAATAAAAAACAAATGCATAAGGTAAAATTTTCACGTTTATTTTGTTTTCTCTCTTTATATATATATATATATATATATATATATATATATATATATATTGTTTGAGTGTAAATATTTTATATTTTTATATGTATTTGCAAACCGTTAATGCTTTTTTAAAAATACAAATTCTTTTTTTTTTTTTGAAAATATTTTTGATGCAATATTTTTTCAGTAAAAGTGATGAAACTTGTGGACTTGTGGACGAATTGGAAAATGATGGAAATTCAATCGGTGACGTTAAGGAGAAGGAGACTATAAATTCGGTAAGTTTTCGTAAATTACAAACTTAATTCTCCTGCTTTACATTTTTAGGGTTTTTAATTTCCAATTTTTTCTATTTTCGATTTTATTTCTTATTAAATTTTTATAAATTTTAGAAACTTTATATTTTTCTAAAATCCCTGTAATAAATTTGATTAAAGTAAAAATAGATAATTATTGGCTTTTTAATTTAAATGAAATTAAAACTGATATTCAAGTTATTTTTAGTTGTTGTGGAATATTGATTGACTTCAATGTAGAGCGCTAGAAATTATTTAATTTAATTTTTTTTTTCTCGGATAAAATGAAGAAATGAAAATTTTAATCTTTAATTATTTTTTCAGTTCCTTTAGATTAAAATTTTTTTTTTTAATTTTAAATTGAAATTAATCAGTGAAAATTATTCCATTAAAAAAATAATTTTTAGTCTTCCTTCGTTGACAACATTATGGTGGACAAAATAAATTCTAAAGCCATGGAAACTGCTATTCTCGAGGGACAAACGCCCTTTGCTCTCTTCAAACCCGCGAAAGGAATTCCTGTTCTCGTTCGCATTTCACCCGCCCAGAATTCAAAACATGTAAACGTTTCAAATAGTTTCTGATATCATTAAATACAGAAAAAAATATTTATTTATATATGTAGAATCAATAATCCAATAATTAGTGAGACTAGATAAGAAACTAAAAATTTCCTCCAATATTTACACTTTCGTCGAGAATTATGAGTTTTTAAATATTTATTCTCAATTTTGAAAATATAATTCGAAATTTAAATTCGTTTATATTAATAATATTATAAAACTCTCTGAGTCTAGATTCAATGTTTGATTATAAATAATTATTAAAACCGCGAATATTGACGAATATTTTGAGATTCAATGTGGAGGTGCTGTTCTCCACCTGCGAACGCCAAGGTCACCGCCAGGTGGCAGTTCAGTTCCTTCTTGGAATTTTCCCTGCCACCTGGTGGTGACCTTGGCGTTCTCAAGTGGAGAAATTAAACCTTTATTTTTTCCCTCAAAAACTTTAATATATTTCAGGTTTCAATTATTATTTTTAGTGCAATTTTAATAATTAATCAACTTTCTCGAAAGAATTAAATTATTTTCAATAAAATTTTAATAAAATTCTATATAAAAATTAAATTATTTTCAATAAAATTTTAATAAAATTCTTTAAAAAAATTCAATTATATTCAATAAAACTTTGTATTACTTAAATTTTGTCGAAAAAATATTTGTAAGAATTCAATTATTCTCATAAATAATTGCATTTTAATGATAACCGGTCAATAAAATATTTTTTCCAGATATTGTCTCATGCAACGGCCGAAGATCTTAAAATGAATGAGAACGTAATTGTCAATCAAGAAGATGTAAAGTCCCTTCAAGTGAAAGTCCCTGTTGTCGCTACAATCACGCAAAAAATGGACTCCAGTGGGAAATTCAGTTATTTGGTGGATTCTTCGAGTACAGACGAGGAGCAGGGTATTTTTAATTATTTCAAATTTTACTTTATATTAAAATTTAAAATTCACTTTCTTCTTGAAAAGTTTTGTCAAATAATAATTTTTGATTTCTTTTCAGTTTCAAGTGTTTTTATTAAATATTTTTTGACAATTTTATTAGTCATCACATTTTTCTATCTATTCTATTATTTTGTTGAGAATCAATAATTTGAATAAGTCAGACAATAAATTGTCACGTTTGGAATATTGCGATGAGAATTAAATATTTAATTCATAAATAAAGGGGAGGATAGCTAGATAATGTGATGACTGAAATATTTATGCTATACGTTGAAAGGTTTAAAGATAACGAAACAAAAATGCTGGCAAATATCTTGAATTATAATTTTGCTTTGTGTTTCGAAAAAATTTTATTCATATACCTTGGTTGTAATGGTCTAGATTTTTTTTAGAGGAGATCCAAGTATTAATTTTAGTATATCCCGAAAAAAGTCCATAAATTTGAATAAAGTCCGAAAAAGTTGGTTTTTTTTAAAAAATCCATAATTGAATACTAAAAGCATTCTGGAGTCAATTTTTAGAAATAATTGAATTTCGAAAAGGTTTCAAATTAAAAAATTTAAAAACTGAATTTTTCAAAATTATTCATAAAAAATTCTGTAGAACTATGTAATTTTTTTGAAAATTTTTTATTATAATTCTTTTAAAATTAGTTGATTTTGTTAAATACATATTTAATTATTAATTATTAAACTATTAAAAATAATCGATTTATAGAAGAATTTGAGTTAAAAACACTAAAAAAAATTGAATTTTGAAGAAGTTAGAAATGATTCCAGAAATTTAATTATTTCCAAAAGTAATAAAATTCTTCTCAGAAATTCAATTATTTAAAATTTTTTTTAAAAAATTCTAGTCAATTTTAATTATCTTTTTAAATAATAAAATTCTTCTCCAAAATTAAATTATTTTCAAAATTTTAAATAAAATTCTCTGCAAAAATTTCAATTATTTTTAATACAATTTGTAATTAAATTCCTCGAAAAATATAATTATTTAAAAAAATTTTTTTAAATTCTATTAATTTAGAATATTATTTTTAAAAAAATTTCGAAAAAATCAATCATTTAACAAAATTTTTATACAATTCTTCACAATGATTCAATTATTTTCATGAATATTAAAATTCATCGCAGGATTTCAATTATTTTTAATACAATTTTACAGGAATTGTTAAAAAAATATAATTATTCTTAACAATTTAATTTCAATTTCTCAAAAAAGCAATTATTTAAAAAAAGGTTTTTGTAGAATTTTTTTTTTTTTTTGAAAAATTCAATTATTTACAAAAATATTAGAATTTTTCACAGGAATTAAATTATTTTCAAATATTTCAATAAAATTGTTCGAAAGAAATCAATTATTTTAAATACAATTTTAAGTAAATTTTTTTGAAATAATTCAATTATTCTTTTAGATTTTTTTTTTATAAAATTCTTCCCAAGAATTGAATTTTTTACATAAATAATTCTTCGAAATAATTCAATTATTAAAGATAAATAACAAAATTATTCCTGAAAATTCAATTATTTTGAGACAATTTAATAAAATTCTTTGCAAAATTTAATTATTTTGAGACATTTGAATCAAATTGTTTGCAAAATTCAATTATTTTGAGGCATTTGAATTAAATTGTTTGCAAAAGTCAATTATTTTCATAAATAACAATATTCATAACAATAATTCAATTATTTTTAAAAGTAACAAATTTTTTCTTGGAAATTCAATTATTTAAAAAAATCCTAATAAAATGGTTCGCAAGAATTCAATTATTATTATTTATTTTCATAAATAATAAAATGCTTTTTAGGAATTCAATTATTTTCAAACAAATTTAATAAAATGCGACACAGACATTCAATTATTCTCAAAAATTTTAACAGAATTCTTTGTAAAATTTAATTATTTTTAAAAACTTTTCGCAATTCAATGATTTTCAATATCTACTATTTTTTATAAAATTTCCAAACAGAATTCAATTATTTAAAAAATTTTCCGTAAAAATCTTGGTAAGAATTCAATTTTTTTTTGTGAATAATAAAAATTTCTGAGGAATTGAATTTTTTAAATTAGAATTTGCATTTAAAATTAGTCGAAAGAAATCAATTATTTAAAAATTTTTTTATGAAATTCTTTGCAAGAATTAAATTATTTTTACAAATATTTAAATTTTGCTACTTTTTTAGTTTGAAAGTTACTTTTTGCTACTTTTTTAAAATTAATTATTCAGTGCAAAGTCTGTATTTCCTATTTCTTAATTTTTATTTTTTTAAACAATTTTCTAATATTTTTTATAAATAAACATACAACTTCAATGTCTGTTAACCGAACTTTACGACCCTTAAAATTTTGATAAGCTACAACTGACCCACGTCAGCTTCCAACGAGAACAGAATCATCAAAATTGAATAACAACTACTAAAACTTACTGATTTACGGGTTTTAAGACAATAAGTTTTTGGAGCTTGAAATATGTGTACTAAAATTAAAATTTCGACCTCCAGTAGATACATTACAACCAAAGTTCGAAAAAAAATTTTTTTTTGTATGCAATACATTTTTTTTTGTAAGAAATAATTTTTTTTTTTTTGTAAGGAATAGATTTTTTTTTTGTAAGGAATAAATTGAGGCGCATGATTATTCCCCAAATTTCATTTGACCGAACTGCCATTTTACCGAATTGCATTTATCCGAACTGTTATTTTAAAGAAATGTCACTTTTGCGAATCGTCATTTTTACGAATTGCCACTTTTGCGAAAAGTCATTTGTGCGAAAAATCATTTTTACGAATTGGCATTTTTACAAATCGTCATTGTTCCGAAACGTTATTTTCTCGAATTTTCATTTTTACGAAATGTCACTTTTGTAAATCGATATTTTTACGAATTGTCACTTTTGCGAAAAGTCATTTTTACGAATTGTCATTTATGCGAATTGCCATTTTTTCGAATTGTCATTTTTACGAAATGTTACTGTTGCGAATTGGAATTTTTGCGAAAATTACAATTCGCAACAGTGACATTTCGTAAAAATGACAATTCGAAAAAATGACAGTTCGCATAAATGACAATTCGTTAAAAATGGCAATTCGTAAAAATGATATTTCGCAAAAGTGACAATTCGTAAAAATGTCAATTCGCAAAAATGATATTTCGTAAAGATGACGTTTCGGAACAATAACGATTCGTAAAAATGACAATTCGTTAAAATGATATTTCGCAAAAATGACTTTTCGCAAATGTGTCAATTCGTAAAAATCGTGTAACGAATAATTGAATGCAAAATGCAAAATTGATTTGTTCTCATATCACACATAGAAAATTGTATTATTTTTCTCGAATCTAAAATTATATTCTGCCTTATGTTAGATTACTACGGGTATCTTAGAGTCCTAAGAACTCCCTTCACCAATTCCACGACAATTTTCCCATCCGTTTGTCCTTTCTTATCCAATTCAGAGAATCTCATCACACCCCTTGACTCACAATTTTACCCGGAAAAACGCAGTGATCATTCGGATCAATCATCGCCGGAAGATTGCAATGAACTCCTCGAGTTGGCAGCGCAGGGTGGAATTCAATTTGTACGTGCCACTGAGGATGGTCGTTATGAGGTGATGACCAATAGTGAGGCACGCGAACTCATGTCACAAAATTCCCACGACGTGACAATTCTCGATGGCGAAGAAGCTGAGGCAATTAATATTGTTAATTTACGGCAAAATGAAACTGGTGTCAATGTTGCTAATGATAATAATGTCAACGATCAGCAAGATACAATGGTTATTGATTCAATGAAGCCGGAGGAGAATAAGGAAATCTCAGCGAATAATATTGAAATACTGGGAGATAAGGAGATTCGTATTCTTGATAATAGAGAATTGGATGATCGATATGAGGATGGCATTTCTTTTCTTCCGTCGACGAAAATTGATGATTTGATTCTTGACACTAAGTTTGATGAAAATCTTCCCGTCGATTGCGATGATCATGGTGAATTTTAATTCATTTTAATTAATTTTAATTTTAATTATTTATCAAAATTTCAATTATCTTTAGAAATAATTAAATTCTTCTTCGAAACTCAATCATTTTCAAAAAATTTTCCTCAATTTAATAATTTTCAATATTTACTATTTTCATAAAATTTTCCAAAATAATTCAATTATTTACATAAATAATTCTTCGAAAGAATTCAATTATTAAAGATAAATAAGAAAATTGTTCCTGAAAATTCAATTATTTTAAGGCATTTTAATAAAATTCCTTTGCAAAATTCAATTATTTTGAGGCATTTAAATCAAATTGTTTGGAAAATTCAATTATTTTCATAAATAACAATATTCATAATAAGAATTCAATTATTTTTAAAAGTAATAAATTTTTTCATGAAAATTCAATTATTTTCAAAAATAATTCAATTCTTCTCCGAAATTCAATTATTTTCAAAAATTTTAATAAAATTTATGACAAAATTTCAATTATTTTCAAAAATTTTCCTCAATTCAATGATTTTTATTATCTACTATTTTCATAAAATTTTCAAAAAAAATTCAATTATTTAAAGAAAAATTTCAATTATTTTCAAAAATAATCCAATTATTCTCCGAATTTCAATTAATTTCAAAAGTTTGAATAAAATTTTTGGCAAAATTTCAATTATTTTCTAAAATAATTCAATTCTTCTCCGAAAATCAATTATTTTCAAAAATTTTAATAAAATTTATGGCAAAATTTCAATTATTTTCAAAAATTTTCCTCAATTCAATGATTTTCAATATCTACTATTTTCATAAAATTTTCCAAAAAAAATTCAATTATTTAAAGAAAAATTTAATAAAATTCTACACAAATGTTTAATTATTTTCAAAAATTAATAAAAATTTCAAAAGAATTTCATTATTTACAAAATTTTGTATAACTTTCTTCGCAATCATTCAATTATTTTCATAAACAATAAAATTTTTACGGGGATTCAATTATTTTCGTTAATAATAAAATTCTTTTTAGAAATTCAATTATAAATAATAAAACTCAATTGCAGAATTTGAATTATTTTTAATACAATTTTAATTGAATTCGTCGAAAAAATTCTTAAAATGTTTATTAACTTTTGCATTAGATTTCAATTATTAAAAAACATTTTTATAAAATTCTTCTCAAAAATTCAAATAAAATTGTAATGAAAATAATTTAATTTTTGTAAAGAATTCTATCAAAATTCTTAAAAATAATTGAATTCTTACGAAGAATTTCATTAAAATTTTAAAAATCATTTAATCTTATCCAGAAATTTTTTTTAAAAATTGTGTTAAAAATAATTGAATTTCTGCGAAGAATTTTGATGTTTATGAAAATAATTGAATTTTTGCTTAGAACTTTATTAAGATTTTTGAAAAAACTTGATTTCTATTAAAGATTAATTCGTCCAAAGAATTCAATTATTTAAAAATTAACAAATTTTTAAAAAATTCAATTCAATTTTGGAGAAAAATTTAATTATTCAATAAATTTTAATTTAAAGGAAGAAGTTAACAATTTCTTTCCTTAAAAATTATTCAATAAATTATTTATTTTTGTGTTTAAATAATTGAATTCTTGTAGAATTTTTTAATAAAAATTGATTTAAAAATTAATTTCAGTTAAAATTTTACATAACAACTGAATATTAAAAATATTATTGTAAGAATTTTTATAAATAATTGAAGTTTGGAAAAGATTTAAATTAAAATCTTTGAAAATTTGAATTTTTTATACTTTTAATTAACAATTTTGTACAATTACTTTTTTGAAAAAGTTTAATTGAATTTTTTTTTTTTGAAATTATTTGAAGTTTTTATTTTTTAATAAAATATTTAATTGAAGAATTTCCAAATAATTGAAATTTCTTATAAAATTGAATAATTGTAATCAAATGAATTTGAAAATTCTGAAAGAACTTTGTCGAAATATTAGTAAAAATAATTGATTTAGAGAAGAATTTTAGTTAAAAAACACTTTAAAAAATTGAATTTTGGAGAAGTTACAAATAATTTCAGAAATTCAATTATTAAAAAAAATTTTTTTTAATTCTCGTCAAAATTTCAATTATCTTTAGAAATAATTCAATTCTTCTCCGAAATTCAATTATTTTCAATTTCAATTATATTCAATTATATTTATTATATTTATATTTTCATTTTTATTTTCAATTCTTTCAATTTTCATTTTTATTGAATTATTTTTTATTTTTTTATTTTTTTGAAAATCAACTATTTATTCAATTATTTTCAAAACTTTTAATAAAATTTTTGGCAAGATTTCAATTATTTTCAAAAATAATTCAATTCTTCTCCGAAATTCAATTATTTTCAAAAATTTTTGGCAAAATTTCAATTATTTAAAAAAATTTTTCTCAATTCAATGATTTTCAATATCTACTATTTTCATAAAATTTTCCAAAAGAATGAAATTATTTAGAAAAAAATTTAATAAAATTCTACACGAACTTTAAAATTGTTTTCATAATTAATAAAAATTTCACAGGAATTCAATTATTTACAAAGTTTTTATAAATTTCGTCGGAATAATTCAATAATTTCCATAAATAATAACATTTTTTACAGGGATTCAATTATTCTTCGAAAAATTTAGTTATTCTTAAAAATTTTATTAATATTTGTCCAAAGAATTCAGTTAGTTAAAAATTTTTTGATAATTTTGCGAAACATTCAATATTCAATAAATTATTTATTTTTGTATTTAAATAATTGAATTCTTGTTGAATTTTCTAATAAAAATTTATTTCAAAATTAATTTTAGTTAAAAATTTAGATAATTGAATTTCAAAAGCATTCTGAAGTTAATTTTTCAAAATAATTGGATTTTGAAAATATTTAAAATTAAAATATTTGAATATCGGAATTTTTCAGACTTTTTAATTAAAAATTCTGTAGAACTAATTTTTTTGAGAAATTATAATTCTTTTTAAATTAGTTGAATATTCTTTAGAATCAGGGAAAGAGTGAAAATTTTGTCTGGAAATCAGAGAAAAGGAGAATAAAATTTTTATGGCAACCCATGTTCTTATAAAAAATCGTCTCTTATTCCAAATTCCAAATTAATAATTACTTTAAATTTTATATAGGCATGGGCATTGGAACCGATCGTCCAGACTACACGAACCTTTTGAATCATCGTCAGGATATTTCAACGATAACAACATCATCTCATTCATCAATTTCTTCCATTCTAACTAAATCCTATCATCCATCAATTCCCAATGAAAATACCCAATTTTTGAAAAATTGCGACGAATTTGATATTATCAATATGTCACCAACTGAGACTCACCATTTAATTCAGGATTATTCAAAATTACAAGTACCCGGCTACGATGATTATGATTCAGTCGCAAATTTATCAACGATTCAGCCGGATTTCAGTTTTCTTGGTTCGAGATATTCTAATATGAGACAAAATAATAATCAAACATTTTACAGTTCATTTGGCGATATGAAAATTCTTGGTTCAAAGAATTCACCATCGGAAATGATTATGCAATATCAGGACATGAAGCTTTTTAATAATTTTGGAAATTATCTCGATTCACATGAGGATAAAATGGATCTCAAGTTGTTAGGCAAGAAAATTGAAACGGGAATTTTTACCAATTTGGATAATGGACTGAGAAAATCGGTAAGTTTAAAATTGTTTCAAAGAAATTATGAATATTATTGAAAATATAAACAATAATAATTAAGTTTCTGATTTCTATTTGCAAAATTTGATTCAAGTTCAAAATAGAAAAAAAGAAGGAATGAAACAAAATTAAAAAAAAAATGTTTTCGAATATTGAAAAAAATGTTTTTTTTGAAAATTTCGGGACTTGTTTTTTAATAGAGAAGGAATTATATTTAAAAGAAAGTATTGTATACATTGCTAGTAAATATAAAAAAAAACCAAAAGTACATTACGACTCTTGAAGTTCATATTTGCAGAAACTTTGAAAGCAAGTTGCTTTATACACTCTAACTATTTTAACGCGAAGGAACAAGCCAACTTTAAGTATCTTTTTACGAGATGGAACTTGTACTGTTTTTTCGACTTCTTCTTTTTTTTTTTACTCTGTTATCCGAGGTGGAAGAGAAAGACGATTTTCACATCTACCTCGTGTATTTCAGAGAGCAAGGAGCAGGAGGTTAATTTCGAAAGCTCTGCTTCCTAGTACGGCTTTTAGCGACCCATTATTTCATTCTACCTTTTTTCCAGATATCCGACGTACAGGCGCCTTCTCGTTTTGGCTGACCAAAGACCTTTCTTGCCTGAGAACTCCAGAACTATGTTTTTACTCCTGACGAAGCTTTCTGTGTAACGTCCCTTTTGACTTGGGATCAAGCGCAAATCCGATTTCAGGTTGGTTACAAAAAAAAAAATCCAATTTCACTCGCATTATACACTTTTCTGACACTGAATTAATTAATTCATTTATTCATTTATTCATTAATTCATTAATTCACAATAATTAGTTCACAATTAATTAATTTACTCGATTTTACAAAATAGAAGTTAGGATTTTATCACTTTGCCTTAACATTTTTTTAACAACCATTTATATATTATTTTATATTTCTTGCATAAATGCAAAAACCAAAAAATTATAAACCAAAGAAAATTTACAAGAATTCCAAAAAATTCATGTGTTCTTAATTTTTCATTAGGAATAGTTGAATAGTTCATAATCAAATTAGGCAAATCAGTCTTTTATAATTATTATCAAGAGTATTTATTTCAATACCATCGTAGATTATATACAACACACATACACATAAATTTATATACAAAAAATGCTGCGAGATTTTTTTCTTTCTAAAATGTAAATTTAAAAATATTTAGTAATTTATTTATCATCAATGTTTTTCCCAAACAAAAAAATAATTAAATTTCACCTGTTGTAAAATGTTGAGATATTTCTGAAATCAATATTGCAAGAAACAATGTCATTTGGTATTATTTTATTATAATATAAAAAATAAATATTGTTATTTATATGAAAATATTGAGAATATAAAATTGTTTAATAAACAAAAAGAGCTGGAATCGGTGATGGTGTCTTTTATCTGACGTTGTGAATATTGAATAATTTTTTTTCTTGTTAATTAATAATAAATTATTGTCTTTTTTAAATGTTTTTTATTTCCTCTTCTTGTGCTCACTGACGGTCCGCCATTTTGAATTTTTAAGAAGATTGCCTTTCTCCATATTCAAGTGGACATTTTGAATTTTTTAAATTCTTTACATCTGACTTTAGATTCGTAATTAGCGACCCCTAAAAAATTTGTATTTATTTTTCAATTATTTTTTCTTACATTATTTATGAATATATATTAAAAAAAACATTATTTCAATAAGAAATCTAAATTGCTAAAATGATAATTAGGCTTTTGAACAACCCCTAGTGATGTTAAATTTCTAGAGAACTGGTCTCTTTACATTTCGACAATGGCTTTGTTTTGGTGTGTAAACTGGCACGGTTACGGGAGATTGCTATTGTATTCTCCAGTGCTATGTGGATTCAAACCGAACGGCGGCGTCGGCGGTCTATTTAAATATAGCGGTCACTTTGCGTTTCTTGAGTTGATGGTCACTTTTGCCAACACAATAAAGCGCATTACTTTTCTCAATATAATACTCTATTGATTGTGTAACGATGAAAATCAATTTAATTCCTACTTCTTATCAATTGTCTGATTTTGATATACGAAATTATTTAAATAAAATATTTAATTTCATATATTAGATAAAATAACAGGTTATGTAACCAAAACTGTCAATATTTAATAAGTGGTATCACAACAACTTTAACAACATTTTTTCAACAAAAAGCATCGCAGAAAAAACTCAGGTAATTATAGGCAAAAGAAAATAACAGGTTATATAACAAAAACTGTCAATATTTAATAAGTTGTGTCACAACAACTTCAACAAAAAGCATCGCAGCAACAATTCAGGTAATTATAAGCAAAAAAAAATAACAGGTTATGTAACCAAAACTGTCAATATTTAATAAGTTGTGTAACAACAACTTTAACAACATTTTTTCAACAAAAAGCATCGCAGCAACAATTCAGGTAATTATAATAAAAAAAACAGGTTATGTAAACAAAACTGTCAATATTTAATAAGTTGTGTAACAACAACTTTAACAAAATTTTTTCAACAAAAAGCATCGCAGCAATAATTCAGGTAATTGTAACCAAAAAAAATAACAGGTTATGTAATCAAAACTGTCAATATTTAATAAGTTGTGTAACAACAACTTTAACAACATTTTTTCAACAAAAAGCATCGCAGCAACAATTCAGGTAATTATAATAAAAAAACAGGTTATGTAAACAAAACAGTCAATATTTAATAAGTTGTGTCACAACAACTTCAACAAAAAGCATCGCAGCAACAATTCCGGTAATTATAAGCAAAAAAAAAATAACAGGTTATATAAACAAAAATGTCAATATTTAATAAGTTGTGTCACAACAACTTTAACAATATTTTTCGAACAAAACATTCCAGCAACAATTCAGGTAAATATAACAAAAAAAATAACAGGTTATGTAATCAAAACTGTCAATATTTAATAAGTTGTATCACAACAACTTAAACCAAATTTTTTCAACAAAAAGAATCGCTTCAACAATCTAGGTAATTATATAAAAAAAAATAACAGGTTATGTAATCAAAACTGTCAATATTTAAAATGTTGTGTCACAACAACTTTAGCAAAAAGCATCGCAGCAACAATTCAGGTAATTATAGGCCAAAAAAAACAGGTTATGTAATCAAAACTGTCAATTTTTAATAAGTTTTGTTACAACAACTTCAACAAAAAGCATCGCAGCAACAATTCAGGTAATTATAAGCAAAAAAAAACAGGTTATGTAAACAAAACTGTCAATATTTAATAAGTTGTGTCACAACAACTTTAACAAAATTTTTCCAACATAAAACATTCCAGCAACAATTCAGGTAATTATAACCAAAAAAAAATAACAGGTTATGTAATCAAAACTGTCAATATTTTATAAGTTGTGTCACAACAACTTAAACCAAATTTTTTCAACAAAAAGAATCGCTTCAACAATTTAGATAATTATAACAAAAAAATAACAGGTCATGTAATCAAAACTGTCAATATTTAATAAGTTGTGTCACAACAACTTAAACCAAATTTTTTCAACAAAAAGAATCGCTTCAACAATTTAGGTAATTATAACAAAAAAATAACAGGTTATGTAATCAAAACTGTCAATTTTTAATAAGTTATGTTACAACAACTTCAACAAAAAGCATCGCAGCAACAATTCCGGTAATTATAAGCAACAAAATAACAGGTTATGTAAACAAAACTGTCAATATTTAATAAGTTGTGTCACAACAACTTTAACAAAATTTTTCCAACATAAAACATTCCAGCAACAATTCAGGTAATTATAACCAAAAAAAATAACAAGTTATGTAATCAAAACTGTCAATATTTAATAAGTTGTGTCACAACAACTTAAACCAAATTTTTTCAACAAAAAGAATCGCTTCAACAATTTAGATAATTATAACAAAAAAATAACAGGTCATGTAATCAAAACTGTCAATATTTAATAAGTTGTGTCACAACAACTTCAGCAAAAATTTTCCAACAAAAAACATTTCAGAAACGATTCAGGTAAGCCAGTAAGCCAAAAAAATAACAGGTTATGTAACCAAAACAGTCAATATTTAATAAGTTGTGTAAAAACAACTTTAACAAAATTTTTTCAACAAAAAGCATCGCAGCAATAATTCAGGTAATTGTAACCAAAAAAAATAACAGGTTATGTAATCAAAACTGTCAATATTTAATAAGTTGTGTCACAACAACTTAAACCAAATTTTTCCAACAAAAAGAATCGCTTCAACAATTTAGGTAATTATAACAAAAAAAATAACAGGTTATGTAATCAAAACTGTCAATATTTAATAAGTTGTGTCACAACAACTTAAACCAAATATTTTCAACAAAAAGAATCGCTTTAACAATTTAGGTAATTATAAGCGAAAATACAGGTTATGTAACCAAAACTGTCAATATTTAATAAGTTGTGTCATAACAACTTTAGCAAAAAGCATTTTAGCAACAATTCAGGTAATTATTAGCAAAAAAATAACAGGTTATGTAACCAAAACTGTCATTTAATAAGTTGTGTCACAACAACTTTAACAAAATTTTAATTTTCTAAATGATAACGAGAATGTGATAGTTTAATCGCTCCTTGAAACAAGAAGTGAATAACTTTAGCAGAACAATAATATTTTTAAAGAAAAGTTATCTTTTTTTACTATTAATTATTATTTTTACAATTACTATTATTTTCAGTGCTTTAATATATTTAATGTAAAAATATACAGACCCTGTCTTACAGAACAGATTTTATATAAAAACCCATTTGGAAACATCTCAAAACATCAAGTTCAAGTTTTTTTTTAAAAAGACGGGTTTTGTAAACCTCGATAAACTATTTTTCTTCATGTTTCAGTCGTTCATCTAACGACCACTGACTTTTACCTTTGGAAAATTGATTTCGTGTACGAACTTCTAGCTTGTGAGTGAAAAATAACATGAGACTTGATCGATCAGTCTAGTTTGCCAAGTTTCACACTATTTTTGAAACTTTCACATTGATAAATATTGTCAGATGACAGTTCCTATGAACATGGTATCTTTGGGTTTAAATTATTATTTTTTTTCTTTCCTCATTGTATTTATAACAAAAATTTATCATTTACCATCATAATGATATCATAATTTATAAACTTGTGTGGCGACCACGAAAATGAAAATAGGGATGATACTGCCCCGGCAGGAAATTCATTAATAAAGCTTTGTTCATCAGCACTAATAGAAATCAAGTGAGATGAGGTCATCAGGTACCCTTCAGATATTCTCGAATAGGTCGTTTCCCAGAATTAATAGCGTCATTCTCGCTAATGGTTAAATTGATTTTACGACAGCTAATGCATTTATAAATATATTCGTTGACCACCAGTTGCAAGCTTTTTAATCAATTTTATTAAAATATTGTATAGCTTAGGTTTCCTCATCGTTTTAATGGCAAAAATTTACTATTATTTGTAAATTGTCTGAATTAAAGTTGCAATGAAATTATGAAAAATTATTGGGGATATTTGATATTACCAATTTTCTATTAACGTTAAATACTCGAGTAAATGTCATTATATATTAAATTCTGAATTTTACTCTATGAAATTAATTAATTTTGATTTTAGAAGTTTGTAATTGAATTTGGAAATTTTGCCTTTGGGTACCTTTGGATTTTAATAATTAAATTTGTAATAAATTTTACTTTTTATTATCTGTCCATTTAGTAAATGAATTATTACATGTGACGCTTCACTGTGAACGGGACCTAACGAGGCAGAAGCCAATTTCCAATTATAACCAATTTTCCAAGTCTTTTATCCTCTAAAACCAATTTTCAATTTTTTATTTTATTCAATAAAACCAATTTCCAATTTAGCCTTTTATCCATTTTAACCAATTTCCAGGTTTAAAAAATCCAAAATGTCGGACATTTGTGGACATTGTTAATCAGTTTATGGATCAGCTCTGGAAGAGTCTTTAATTTCATTCTCGTATTTGTATCAGGAGGACGTGAATACTAATTAACATTAAAAAAATGTTTTATGATATA